CAAGACCCAATCAGTTGGTCTTTAAGGGCCTGAGCCTTAAGATTGCAGCAGGAAGTTCAGTAGCACTAGTGGGGCAGAGTGGTTCTGGCAAATCTACCATTATTGGACTTATTGAGAGATTTTATGACCCAGTGAAGGGATCTGTATATATAGATGAACAGGACATAAAGGACTATCATTTGAGATCCCTGAGGACACAAATTGCATTAGTCAGTCAGGAGCCAACCCTTTTTGCAGGAACTATCCACGAAAACATTGCTTATGGGAAAAATGATGCCAATGAATCTGAGATTAGGGAAGCTGCAATGCTTGCCAATGCGCATGAATTTATAAGGTATGAAATATGTTGTGAAACTTTAATCTTTTTATCTTATTTTGTTTCGTAAAAATTAATTTCCTAGTGCATTGAAAACAACTTTTAACTTTATTTTTTTTAGTTTTAAATCCTTCCTTCTAAAAGAAAATCCTATTGAAAAACAAAGGAGGACGAGCTTTGGTGCAACGCTAAGGTTGCTCCATTGTAACAAGAAGGTCACGGGTCTGAAACAAAAAAAACATCTCCGCATGCAGAAGTAAAACTACGTAAATCAAACCCCTTCCCAGACCCTGCAATGACGAGAGTCTCGTGCACTGGACTAGCCCGTATTGGAAAGTAAAACCCTTTAAAGTTGTGAAGGAAAAGGAACAAACTTTATGTTGTTGTTTAACTTAGCTTAGGATTAATTTGTCTGATCATGTAGCTAACTGAAATAAAAGTTTGGTGGTAGGAATGACTTTGCATTGAAGCATAAACTATGCCACTTTTATGTTAACCATTTTCTTCTTCTGTATTTACAGTGGAATGAAAGATGGATATGATGCTTACTGCGGAGAAAGAGGGGTTCAGTTATCAGGAGGTCAGAAACAGAGGATAGCAATAGCTCGTGCAATACTGAAGAACCCATCAATCCTTCTATTGGATGAGGCAACAAGTGCCCTTGATAGTGTATAAGAGAACTTAGTTCAACAAGCACTCAAGAAGATGATGACTGGTCGGACATGTATTGTTGTAGCTCACCGACTATCAACAATTCAGAATTCCAATTCCATTGTGGTGATCAAGGATGGAAAAATTGTGGAGCAGGGCTCACATTCTGATCTACTTTCTTTACGTCAAAATGAAGTATACTATTCTCTTGTAAAACTATAAGGCAAAACCTAAAGTAGAATTAATTGCTGTTGTTTCATAATGAATGTAATTTGTTTTGGAAATAAGATTATCACCTAATTTTTTTAAAGAAATGAACGAAGCAGTTCTATATATATATATTTGAAATGAATGCCTAAACTTTATAGGTATGGTGTGTTGGGAAAATGCTTCAAAAATTCATCCCTCTTCTTCTACCCAACCCCCATCCATCTCTATCTTCTGAATCTCCATATTTCGTATTAAAAAAAAGGCCTTAAATTTCGATCAAACACCAAAAAGAAACATAAATATACAGAAATCCTAGAATGATCCCTAGAGAGAGAGAGAGAGAGAGAGAGAGAGAGAGAAATGACCTGACGGCGGGGTGACGAAGATCTCTTTGCGAATCATGGTGGTGTTCTTGTAGTTAGAGTTGTTGCCACCGTGTTGGCATCGCAGAAACAATGGTGTTTGTGGAAGAGAATTCAGAAAGTACTCACAATTAAAGCTTTGATCTGCAAAGCCAATGTGGTCCTTTCACGCATTTTTTTTCATCATTGTCTTTGAGCAATATGTGTAATAAAGAAGAGAATAAGCAAAGTGGGATGATGAAATTGATGGTTTCAGTGGAGATTCTTATTTTGTATTGTGGATTTTTTTTTGCTTTATATGGATTGAGGTCGAATTGATGATTGACATTGTTTTTTTGTGAAGGGGCAAAGAAAGAGAAACAGAGAGAATGAGAAAGGGTGATGAGTGGCGGACGGCGGTGGTGGTAGTGGGAAGAAGCGGTGCGGTTTGTTAGAGAGAGAAATAATTTATTTTTTAACTTTTTCTTTTTAATAAAATAGTGTCAAAATGTTGTTTTTTTTTTTTTTTTTTTTTTGGATAAAGTGTCAATATGTTGTTGGCCGCGGTATCATGACGAAGTTGGTCGTGATAAAAGAGGACCAAGTACTGTCCATATTTTAAATAAATGTTAGTATTTTTTTTTTCTTCCCATGTGTCTTAAAGATCAATCTTGACGAACGTGTTAAAAAAAATCTTGATGGACATTATGGACTACATTATAAAAGAGGGCCCAAAAAAGTTTTGCAAAAAGAGAAAAAGTTTTTTATTTTTATTTTTTATTTTTTATTTTTTTTAGCAAAAAGATAACTACTTTTAAAATACAATTTAAAAAATCTAAATTGATGAGGTGATACCACAAAAATATGCTGAAAGCAAATTCCTTCGTCATTTTATTATGGTGGATAACTTGTGACCAATTCATTTTAATTGTTTATATGTATGTAACTTTGAAGGAAATCAGAAATTACTTTTACAATTCATTGAATAAATGATGAATTTGAAATTAAGCGAGTTTACTATTAAAATTAATTTCGTTAGTCTCCAACAATGTTAGATCCGCATATAAGCTTAAGTATAAATTGAAATTATAATTATTTATGGGAAAAAAAAAATTGAAATTATACTTCTTAAATAATTTATGCTAAAGCATTCATTTGAAATATTTCAATTAAACCGAGCAAAATATGGCGATCGCATCATAGATTTACATATCATAGTGAAAGCTAGGATCACAACTTGGACGGTTAGAGGTATAATACGAGTCTAACTCGACATATAAAATATTTAATCCTAACTTGACCTTCAACCCTAACTACTCAATTTGAGCATAACCTATTTTTTTATTTTTAAACTCCGATTTACAATTTCAATTGAGATTTCGGATTAAAAAGTCAGATAATTTGGATTACTCATATGGTTAATACCCCCACTAAAAATTTGATATAATCTTGAGTTAGTTTCAAATTAAATTACTCCTTAATATAAAAAATTATAAAAAAAGTTATTGCCAGCCCAAGTTGTGTCTAGTGAAAGCCTAATTTAAATGGCTACTACTAAAGTCTGTTGTACTGATAGCTCTTTCTTGACCTCTTTAAGAAAATCTGCAGCTTCTGTATCCTCAATTAGCCAAAATATCTACTCCATTGAATATCTTAATGAACCACATAATGTTAAAGAATCACCTACTCTCAATTCAGAATAATAGCAGAGTGAAATTGAAGTGTATTGAATAAATAACTTTGAAAAAGTTTTCCCATACCAGACTTAACATGTGACCAAATTAATTATATATCAAGATATCACTTCACCCATGAGCAAGAAAGAACTCAGGTTAGAGAAGAACATAAAAAGAACAATTTTTTTTTTTTGAAAGGTAACATAAAAGAACTTTGTATGGGTATAACTAATATAAACATCCTCATACCAACAGGCTAGTGTCAGGCTCCAGGGAAGTCACAGATTCAAACCTCGGTAGAGGTATATGTGTGTGTGAGTACCACCATATATGTATAACAAGAACAAGATGAACATGAGCAAGTTAGATGTTGCAAAGGGCTGTAACTTCACATGCAAAACATGCAGTCTAATAGGTTAAGGTTAGCAGGGCAGTGCTAAGCCCAATTGCATTAGAACACAATTTATTTTCTCTTGTCTTCATATGCTTTTCTGAATAACAACAGACAAGTGAATGGCCTTTCCTGTGCAATTCCATCTAGTATCATAGCCTTGTGAACAGATAATTCTATAATTGTTTGGATCTAGTTGGACTGATCGCTGTTATCGGCATAATCAAATGTTCTTTGAGTATATACTAACTTACTGATTTATACGCAACAAGGCCTCATTTTCTTCGCCACTAAAGGAAATTGGTGAAGAATGGTTCATATATTAAACAATTTCACAAACAAAACTAATACTATTCGCTTTGGAGCATATGTTGAGGCCGGCTTCAAATATGAATATCATATTTCATCAACAAAATTCCTCGTTGTCTTTTATGTTTAAACTATGCATCCCATTGTTGTTATTTCTCTGACAACACCACAAGTTGTCGGAATCTAATTGGATGGAGTTATTTCCTTCACCAACTGTCAATAGTGGCTTTGCTATTAGTTAAGCCCTAAGTCGCACAATTCTTCTAAACGGGTACTACTCTCACGCTCTTTCCCCCGGCTCCTCCCACTTTGTGCTACTTAAGACACAGCACCAACTTGGTCTCCGTAGTTAGCTTTTCGCTCAATTTATGTGTGTTTTGTCCCAAAACCAAGTAAAAGGAAGAATAAAGACACTTGATCAAGAGCTGTTTGAATGGGAACATAAAATTCTTTTTCATTTTTAACTCTTTTTGGATCTTACACAAATGTGGACTTAAGAAGTTAAAAGAATTTTAACCCTTAACAGTTAACACCAAGCTTCCCAATCGAGTCCGGCACTTCGTCACTTCTCTAAGATTTCAATTCTTAGTCACATTTTTCTTCATTCACAGCTTTCATGTCAATACTTATTATTACAAACTTGTTTTTTAATTTTAAAATTTGATCAATTAGAGAACGGAATGGGCGTAAGATCCTAAGATCGTTGGCAGAGTCAACATCATCTATGGTTTGTTAGGTTTAGCAGAGAACAGAACGGAATCAATTCTAGACGGTACCAGCTAAGAGACTCGGCAAGACTAATTGGAATTTTGGAAACCAACAATCCATGGCCCGACCAACACAAACACTTGGCAAGACTAATTGGAATTTTGGAAACCAACAATCCATGGCCTGACCAACACAAACATAAAATGCGGGCGGCTGATTCTAAAATGTGGTGAACAATTCAATTTGGCTTTGGCATTAGAAGTATGCGAAGAAGACGACAATATTAAATGATACCAACCTCCTTGTAAGGTATCTACTAAATTTGATCAAACGCATATATAAAAACAGTGATATTGATTGTCTTTGAACATTGTTCAAACCTCCTGAAGGGAGCATAAGATAATGGGTGGAAAAGATGGAATGTTCAGATATGCTGATGGGGTGGACAAGTTGTTGATGTTGTTGGGGACTTTGGGTAGTATTGGAGATGGGTTGCAGACCCCTCTCATGATGTTCGTTCTTAGCAACGTGATCAATGACTATGGCGACATCAATATCAAAGTCACTACAGATACTGTAAACAAGGTAGGCATATTTCTAATGATCATTATGGAAACAGCCTACTTCATTGTTAAAGCTCATCTTTAAAAACATTTAAGATTTTTTTTTTTTTTTTTTTTTTTTTCTTTCGAATTTGAATTCATTTCATGATTAATTCTAGTTAAATTAAGTTCTACTTTAACTAAGAAATGCATTTACAAGGCAAAATTTTAAACAGTGAATAATCACTTCCTGCTTATCTAAAAGCATATATGTATCATCGAAAAAAAAGGACTTCAATACATGCACTTCATTAACATATATGCTACTGTGAATTTGTGATATTTCAGTATTCACTCAGACTGCTCTATGTTGCAATTCTAGTTGGATTATCTGCTTTTGTTGGTTCGTCTCCTAACCCTCCACTTTAGAGCTTCCAATACTCAATAAGAAATAAGGATTACACCTTCAATACTAGAACTTCGCTATTCTCAATGTTGCAATTTTGGTGGTATTTATTTATGCAGAAGGACTTTGTTGGGCAAGAACTGCTGAAAGACAGGCTTCTCGGATGAGAATGGAATACCTGAAATCGGTCCTTAGACAAGAAGTTGGTTTCTTCGACACCCAAGCAGCTGAATCTTCAACAACTTACCAAGTTGTTTCAACCATCTCCTCTGATTCCAATTCAATCCATATCGCCATAGGAGAGAAGGTCTTAATTCAGCTGGCACCCTCTTCTTAATTTCTGTTTCATAAAACAACCCAAGTTCTGATCTGAAAGCACAATTAAAACAATATCATATATATATCACATGCACAAAAAGGGTACACATACAAAACAAAATTTTGCTTGGCTCTTCACTTCAAAGACCGTATAAATTAATGAAAGATTACAGAGAGCTTTATGTGTAGAGTAAGAAGTTGGAAGACCTTTGCCTAACAAGCTTATTATCATGGACTTAACTAGTATAGAATGTCAAGAAAGATAAACAGGTGATGTATCCTAACAACAATTAACCAGCTCAGATATTATAAATGTTTTTAGTTGTTCCCGATCCAGTTTTCACCTTGTTTCTCCGTTAGCCTGTATTTAGTATGGTGTTGTAGAGGAAAGGATAGAATTGGCCTTGTAGATAAGTAATGACATTATGTATGAGGCTGAATGCGGAATAATTTGGTAATAGTGGTCAGGTGAACACAATAAACTTTACCAGACATATTTCATAATCATGATCACCAACAGTTTCTTCCTTATTATTTTCTACCTTCTCTAGTCCTTTTGTAACTTGTTTCTTGTGTGCAGATACCCGATTGTCTTGCTTACATGTCGTCCTTCTTCTTCTGCATGATATTTTCCTTTACACTGTCATGGAGGCTTACGTTGGCAGCTATTCCTTTCACCATCATGTTCATTGTCCCAGGACTTGGATTTGGGACGCTTATGATGAATGTGGGGATGAAAATGATTGAATCTTATGGGGTTGCTGGTGGGATCGTAGAACAAGCAATTTCTTCAATAAGAACTGTATATTCATATGTTGGAGAGCGTCAAACACTCGATAGGTTCAGCCAGGCGCTTCAAAAAACCATGGATTTGGGAATAAAGCAAGGTTTAGCAAGGGGATTGATGATGGGAAGCATGGGAGTTATCTATGTTAGTTGGGCCTTTCAAGCTTGGATAGGGTCTGTTCTGGTTACTAAAAAGGGGGAAAAGGGTGGTGACATTTTTGTAGCTGGATTCAATGTCCTCATGGGAGGATTGTGAGTTACATCTTCATAATTTTCATGCATTATAAACAGCAGAAGAAGATTTTGATAAGTTTCATAATCATATTTCAATTTGAAACTCACTGTTTCACTATTTTTGCAGGAATATTTTGACTGCACTGCCAAATCTCACCTTCATCACAGAGGCAAAGGTGGCTGCTACTAGGATTACAGAGATGATTGATCGGCTTCCAGCCATAGACTCTGAAGACAAGAAGGGGAAGGCTCTATCATATGTGAGAGGAGAACTTGAATTCAAAGGCATATATTTTAGTTACCCATCAAGGCCTGATACACCAATCCTACAAGCCTTAAATCTTAGAATTCCGGCTGCCAAAACTGTAGGTCTTGTCGGTGGCAGTGGCTCTGGCAAGTCCACCATTATTTCATTGCTTCAAAGATTTTATGATCCTATTGAAGGTGAAATTTTGTTGGATGGGTACAAGATAAAGAAACTTCATCTTAAGTGGTTGAGATCACAAATGGGACTGGTTAATCAAGAACCAATCCTCTTTGCAACATCGATTAAGGAGAATATACTATTTGGGAAGGAAGGAGCATCAGAGGAAGATTTAGAAGGAGCAGCAAAGGCTGCAAATGCACATGACTTCATTTCTAAATTACCAGATGGATATGAAACTCAAGTAAGTTATCCTTTGCTCTTAAACTCGGTAGATTTGTTTTTGTTTCCTATGGTTGGCTAAATTTTAGAAGTAACTTCAGTGAAAAAAAAGAAAAATGGGATAAAGAAGTTGGAATGTATTTTAGAATTATGTGAATTTTAGTAAAATATGATTTTTCGATATCAAGCAATTCTTCCTATGATAGATCTAATAAGAGTTTCAATTGGATTCTAGGTTGGGCAATTTGGAGTTCAATTGTCTGGAGGGCAAAAGCAAAGAATAGCCATAGCGAGGGCTTTAATAAGAGATCCTAAAATCTTGCTGCTTGATGAAGCTACAAGTGCTCTGGACGCAGTATCTGAAAGAACTGTACAAGAGGCCATTGATCAGGCATCAGTGGGAAGAACAACAATCGTCATTGCCCACCGCCTCAGCACAATAAGAATGGCTAATCTGATTGTAGTTCTTCAATCAGGGAAAGTAATTGAATCAGGTTCACATGATGAGCTTATGCAAATGAATGGTGGACTGGGTGGAGAGTACTTTCAAATGGTGCAGTTGCAGCAATCAACAATGCAAAATGAAGTCTCAGTTGATTACGATTACCAAGTAGATGCAAGAAGCCACTACAACAATGGTGTGCCACTAAGCCCAATGAGTAGAAGCCACTACAACATGGGTGTTCCAAGTCCAATTAGTAGAAGCCACAACATGGAACCATCAAGTCCAACGAGTAGAAGCAGCCACAACATAGGTGTTCCATCAAGTCCAATGAGTAGAAGCCACTACGGCATGGATATTCCAATGAGCCCAATGAGTGGGAGATCAGCTGATGGAAGAATTCATTATAGGATGGGTGTTCCACCAAGTCCAATAAGTGTGAGATCAAGTGCACCAAGCACCCCAAGGATGCATCCATTTAGCCCGGCTTTCTCCATGAGCACGCCTTACTCTGTCCAATTTGAAGCCTCTTATGAAAGTGATGATGATAATCTGAAGCAACCATTTTATTCTCCTCCTTCGCAGTTTCGTTTGCTAAAAATGAATAAACCTGAGTTGGGTAATGCCTTGCTTGGATGTATAGGCGCCATAGGATCTGGAGCTGTCCAACCCATAAACGCCTACTGTGTGGGAGCCCTTATATCAGTTTACTTCAAAGATAAAAAAACCTCCGTTACATCTGATGCCAGAACCTATTCTTTCATTTTCTTAGGCCTTGGACTTTTCAACTTCTTTACCAGTCTCCTCCAACATTACAATTTTTCAATCATGGGAGAAAAGTTAACCAGAAGGGTAAGGGAGAAACTTCTTGAAAAATTAATGACTTTCGAGGTTGGATGGTTTGATGAAGATGAGAACACAAGTGCTGCCATTTGTGCAAGGTTATCGACTGAAGCTAACATGGTTCGATCCCTTGTTGGGGACCGTATGTCATTGCTGGCTCAAGCATTCTTTGGGGCTACATTTGCTTATGCACTAGGTCTTGTACTCACATGGAAGCTAGCCCTTGTAATGATTGCGGCACAACCTTTACTCATTGGAAGTTTTTATGCCAGGAGTGTCTTGTTGAAAAGTATGTCTGAAAAAACCCGAAAAGCACAGAAGGAAGGAAGCCAACTTGCAAGTGAAGCTGTCATTAACCACAGAACTATAACTGCCTTCTCATCTCAGAAGAGAATATTGGGGCTTTTCCGAGGCACCTTGGAAGGCCCTAGGAAGGAGAGTATTAAACAATCTTGGTTTTCGGGAATTGGCCTGTTTAGCTCCCAATTCTTGGGAGCAGCTTCTACAGCTTTAGCATACTGGTATGGAGGGAGATTATTGGCACAAGGGCAAATAACTCCTAGGCACCTCTTTCAAGCATTCTTGGTTTTGCTCTTTACTGCTTATACCATTGCTGAGGCAGGAAGCATGACCAAAGATTTATCTAGAGGAAGCAATGCTGTCAGGTCAGTGTTTTCAATCCTAGATAGGAATACTGAAATCAATCCGGATAGCTCAAGGGGGTTTGATACGAAGAAAAGCTCAGTTAAAGGCCGCGTGGAGCTGAAAAATGTTGTCTTTGCATATCCATCAAGACCTAATCAGTTAATCTTTAAGGGCCTGAGCCTTAAAATTGCAGCAGGAAGTTCAGTAGCATTAGTAGGGCAGAGTGGTTCTGGCAAATCTACCATTATTGGGCTTATTGAGAGATTTTATGACCCATTGAAGGGATCTGTATATATAGATGAACGGGACATAAAGGATTATAATTTGAGAAGCCTGAGGACACATATTGCATTAGTTAGTCAGGAGCCAACCCTCTTTGCAGGAACCATCCACGAAAACATCGCCTACGGGAAAAAGAATGCCAAGGAATCTGAGATAAGGAATGCTGCAATGCTTGCAAATGCCCACGAATTTATAAGGTATGAGATATAATTCTGAAACAAAAATTTGGTGGTAGGAAATGACTTAGCATTGAAGCATAAACTGTACCTACTTTATGCTAACCACTTGCTTCTTCTTTATTTTCAGTGGAATGAAAGACGGCTATGGTACTTACTGCGGAGAAAGAGGGGTTCAGCTGTCAGGAGGTCAGAAACAGAGAATAGCACTAGCTCGTGCAATACTGAAGAACCCATCGATACTTCTATTGGACGAGGCAACGAGTGCTCTTGATAGTGTATCAGAGAACTTAGTTCAAGAAGCACTTGAGAAGATGATGAATGGTCGGACATGCATTGTTGTAGCTCACCGACTATCCACAATTCAGAAATCGAATTCCATTGCAGTGATCAAGGATGGAAAAGTTGTGGAGCAGGGGTCACATTCTGAGCTACTTTCGTTGGGACGCAATGGAGCATACCATTCTCTTGTAAAACTGCAGGGAAACGGTTCTCCTTACCGATAAAATGCAGCAAGCAGAAGTAATTGTATGTTGTCTCTTACTACATATAATATGTTTTTCTTTACATCATATATAGTGTGCTTGTCTTTCCTAGTAAATAGATTATTGTATGGATTTGATATAAAGAATTTCATCTGCCTGGTGATAATTTTGTATAAGTTGTTTAACCCGTGACATGGGTTTTTGTATTTAAACTTTGGCAGTTTAGTTGGCAAGTCTGTGTATATGTGCGGATGTGTTAAAATGCGGTGTTATTTCACCGAGGTTCTCTGTGTATTTCCCAAGTTATATATAACTCCTGATTCATGAATTAGTATATGCCAGAAGCTATTAATATAATGGCCATCTTTTTACCAAGAAATAATGGATCAAATGACAGGGCAGGAAGTGTTCTGTGTGCCAAGGCTTCTGCTTGGACCGCTGAGATCACTCTTAATATAAGAATGTACAAATTTTGGGAGGAAGTGAAACTCATTATTCAGTTATAATTATGCGACGCAAAAAAGAAAAAAGAATTATGTATTAAGAATCTGAATGAAAAAATGATTCACAAGCTGAGTTAGTTAGTATAACATTATTCTTTCTAAATATGCAGCATTTTAACCAGCTCTAAATAATCAAAACAAACTACTAATCATAAGTGCTTTGTAATTTTAGAACTGTCACTGACGTATCATTCTGGATGGGATATACAACATTATCATTCAAGAACAGCCCAAAATTTAACTACTTATGCAGTTATATAGCAATTGATTTGTAGTGCTTCCCTTTATTGAAATTTACATAGCATTGGTTATCTAAACAAATAATAATTTGGATCTAATATATTTTTTAAAATTTATTATTTTTATTTTAGGGTGTTTGGTTTTTAAGAAGAAAAAAAAAATTTTAAACCTAATAAAAATAACTTACTCATCCATTTTCGACAAAACTTCGACCGAAACTTCTGGCATACATAAAAATAAATTTTTTTATTTTACGAGTAAAGCCTAAATGAAAAAAATGAAAGAACTTGTTGAAGAAGCAGAGTACCTCAAGCTTGGGTATGAAACTTACTGTCCAATTGGCTCCGTCCCGAAAGCCCCCTTCCTCCACTAAAATTCCCTTCTGCCATTGTTGAACTCCTTGAACCTAATCGAAGCCTCCTTGCGATTATGTACAAAACCCAAAAGAGACCTTGAGTTTGATCTGCTGAAGTAAAATTCAAAAGACACCTTGAATCAAGCTCTGGTATGACAATATAAAATGCATGGTTAGATACAAAATCAATATATATTATAGTACTGATGTGACTTATGGGATTCTCTCTTACATAACGGTATATGGCTAATTGCATACACAGAATATATTATTCATAAGCATACCTTCGATTTGTCTGAACAATATGGATATGGGAACTCTTTTGGTTTTCTGCTCTCACAAGAATATAGATGGAGATGGTATAAGTAGATGAAGTCTGAAGCGGGCTCATTTGGTATGTTTTTTTTTTTGCAATATGAGAGTAAATTGTACTGTAGAATTTGGATAGTAGAAGTATTAGAAATATTAATTAGATTAAATACTTGTTTGAAAAAAAAAAAAAAAAACTATATTAATGTTACAAAATAAATATATTAATTAGATTGTATAGATAGAATATAAGAACTAGAAGTTCGTTAAATTTTTCCAATCAAATTGGGTCAAATGGTGGAGTATTTCGTTTTGTTAATTTGGACATTTAAATCACTTTGCTTTTATGTATGTGGATTTTTTGGTACTTGTGAATTAATCAACTTACTAGTTTAAGTTGATTAATGTTGGGGTTGTTAGAGTAATTATACAAAATTGAAAAAAAAATTAGACTATAGTTTTTAATTAAAAAAATTCAGGGATGGGTAATTTGAGTTTATTGTATAATGTTTCAACACATGTTATCAAAAAATTTGGGATGCAAAACACTACTAATGAATTTCTTGGATCACTTACCATTTTGTGGCATTGCATTTGTTCTCGCATTTTAAACCAATTGGTTTCACTTTACAAATTATATTTAGAATTGTCACTCCAACATAAAATTCAGATCAAATGAGAATACTACTACTTTTACATTCCTTCATAAGAAGGGGAAAAAAAAAAATACAAATTACAAGTTTCATATGTAACATCATTAAAAAGGAAATTAGAATTCTCAATGATAAATGGAAGAACAAACAAACAAAAAAAAATTAATTGCACATTCATAGATTTAGAAAATGAAATTAAATTGTCAAAAATAAGACACTAACAACAGCCAACAGTAGCACAACCCGCGCACGATAGCAGTCAAGATCTGGTGCGCCGGACTTGAGTTTAATGCCCTTCTTGTAGACTTTGTGACCGGTGGCGTTGACCTCGACTGGAGCCCAAACGATGATCTTGTCCCTCTTGGTATTCCAAAACATGATCTTGAACCTGACCTTGGTGCTCAAATCCACCCTGAAAAACGCCGTGCCGTTGGAAGAAATGGCCGCCCACGGCACCCCATAAGTATTCACCGACTCTTTCCGGTGAGCTTTCTTCTTGTGGCCCTGGTAAAACCCAGGAATAGTTTTGTTGGCAACTGGGTGGGACTGGTTTTCGCCGTAATAGATGGTGAGGTTGAGGGCATCATAGTGAATTCCCTTGTCCTTGTTCTTGTTGTCCAGCTTGAGATCGAAGTAGATGGTGGTGTTGGTGCTGTTGGTACTGTTGTAATTTGGTGTTGTGTTTTGGAGGGCAGGAAGGTAAAAGTCTTGGATAGAGCAGGTGGGGTGTGTGGTACGCAGACTCAGCCACATGAACAGAGCAGTCAGCCCCGAAGTCAATACGAAGCTGCAACAGCACCGGCAACACCCGGCGTTGCGGCTGTCCGTCATGTCTGATGGTAAATAACAATTTTCCGGCCACCCAGGAGAAATATTAATAGTATATGTCTAGAGAGAGGAGAGAGAATTATTTTACTCCGTCGTGACTTTTGAGAAAGAGGATAGTTTATGTTGGGTGTTGGGTCTTTTGCTTTTGGGGTATGATTGGGGGTTATATTTGACATGTCCGATTGGCATTTATAAACTGTATATGGAGAGAGAGAGAAGCTAGTGTACTTTCCTGGTGAATTCAGAAATGGGATTAACATAGTGGACGCTTGGTTGACTAGGCCTTGACACGCTTTCACCACATAATTTGGCTTTGATTCGCTTTCACCACATAATTTGGCTTTGCTTTTAGGGTTAATTACAACGACACTCTTTGAGATTTGAAATATTGACAGGCATATATAAATTAGTCATTTTTTTAACACTCATATTTCCTGCCTAAAATTTAATCCAAACAAGCCCTTAAAAATTGTAAAAAGATGAGATTACTTTTCAGTAAAATATCAATTATTAATCTAAAATATAATAATATATATATATGACAGAATTACCCTTCTTAAATCATATTTCTCTCTACCCTCCACTCCGAAAAAATCCAAACTCGATGACCAGTGTCGTGTCGTCGCCGCCGCTGCCGTTGCAGTTCTGACCTTCGCGCCATGGCGCGCCACCACCGCTGGAGTTCCGAGCTCTGCATTGAGGACTGACGAGGATGCCATCGAGCCGTTACAGGAACTGCGAACCAGAAAATCGTCGCCGGAATCGTGACTGATTCCTCATTGCCGGCTCGAATTCTGATTTGCCTGGCAACGGCCTCTGGCCAACAAAAACTTCGAATACTTTTCGGCAATGGCCTCTGCACGAACCCTCACCGTCATCTATTTTTAGCAAGAGGGAGACTTGGTGGGATGAATCGACAGCTGAGAATAGCGGTTGTGATGGATCCGGCGAGGACGGGTTGGCGGTGAGTTCTGCGAGGATGAATTCGGCCTCTGTTTTGGAGAGCTCGGCCTCGGCTGTGGGCAACGGGAAGACGGCCTCGGCAGTGGGTGACGGGCTGATAGCACTGAACGCCGGTGGATAGCTTGGCTAGACGGAATCGGCAACAGTTGGCTTAGTTGACTTCAGAACGGCAGTGACGGGTGCGGCTGACTGACAACGGCGGTGACAGGCTTTGACTCGTCCAAATTGGACTCGGTCGGATTCAATGGCTGTGCTCGGAAGGTAGAGAGATGGGGACGGCAGACAGCTCGGGTTCAATTGGCTGGGTTTTGGTTTTTAATGGGTTCAATTGGCTGGATTTTTTGTTGGTTTTTCATGGGATCAATTGATGGGTTTTGGTTGTGGTGGTAGAGGTTGCAGTGGTGGGTGGAGAGAGAAAGAAGGGGTTGGTAGTATTGGTGGCGGCGGTGGCGGTAATACAGCCGAGTTCAATGACGACCTCTACCATATGTTTTGTATGTATGTATATATAGATATATGTGTGTAATTACCCTATTGTTTTGTATGTATGTATATATAGATATATGTGTATAATTTTGAATTGTTAGGTTTGTGTGGTGGTGGTGGAACAACGAAGAAGACGGTGGTTGTCGAGGTTACAGTGGTGGTTATTGGTGAGTGTGTATATTGGCTGAGGTTATTTTGGTCATTTTACGTGGTCAAAAGGTAAGCATGTATTTTCATCCTGTTTGGGGTGTCATTGTTTAAGCTTGCAAACTTGGAGGGTCTCATTGTCCAAAAAAGAGGTAACTTATAAATGGTTGTCAATAAGGTAAACCTCAGGAGGTGTCGTTGTAATTAACCCTTGATTTTAAGTGGCTCATATCTCAATTGGCCATGGACTCACTAGGAATTTTCTCAATTATTGCCCAGTACATTTGGAATGGGAGGGGGGTGAAAATCACCTCCAATCACACAGTATGCCATTTTCACCATTTTGAAATAAGTAGAGGAAAATTAGCCACATCAATTAAAAATCTTGGGTAACTAAATTTTCACCACCCTTGTATTTTATATATATAAGCTGCAAATATTGTATTCCATATATATAAACACATTTAAATATTGTATCTAAAATACACTTGTCTTGTTTTCAAAATGTCATCTTCTTCCTTTCTCTCTCCAAAAGCTTCATCAGCTTTCATTAATGGACTCTCCAAGGACTCACAGTAACTTTTGAATTTCAAAACTTCAATTCAAAACCCGAATACACTCCTAAAATCCATGTAATTTCACTGGAGTATTATGCGAGTATTATGCAGAAATTCCATAGTATCATCCATAGATCTAAGCTTTATTCATATAAATTTTGATTTTTGATTTGTTTTTTCTTATCTGATTAAGGAGCACAAACATCACTGGTTCACACTCTTTTTAGTAGAATTTTGTTGGGATTTTATGTATAACATAAGCATAAAATATAGTTATTACTGCTTGGGATACAAAATACGTATTGCTTGTGATGTTAAGTAAGATTATGTTGGGATATTATGTACAATTTATACTCACTTAAATTACAAATCGTTGGGATATTATGTACAAATAATCTATTTTGGATTATGTTGAGATGTTGTGTACAACTTATATTGACTTAAATTACAAACTGTTTGGGATGTTGTGTAGTACACAAATAAGTAAACAAAAAAACCATACCAGTCCAAATGTTGCTTTGTTCCAATATTGCAATGTTAATTTAGAAAAAAATGACCTCGTATACGAAGAAAAGGAAGTAAAAATTTATGGAAACAAATGAATGGAGAAATTTATGGGTTGTTGAAATATTTTGGAAACAAATCAATGGTCCTTCTCGTGTTCCAAATCTCCACGCAAACGGCAATGGGTTGCTGAAATATTCTGGAAAGAAACAATATTTTGGAAAGAAATCAAAATCTGGGTTGCTGAAATGGAGGGATTTTGTCAAAATCAATATTTTGGGAAAGAAGAAAATGGCCGGATTTGGGTTGCTGAAATGGGTTGCTGAAAATAAGGGAGGGAAGAAAAAAGAGTATTTATGAACAGTATATACATGTATATATATGGAAATTGTGTATTAAATAAATAAATATTTTTACCCACCTTAGTAACTACTGTTCATTGACACAAAAAGGACACAAAAAGGAGGAAATGGGCAATTGTGGGACTAGAGGTGATCCTGGTCCATGGGAGGGTATGTTTTCGTGATTGATTGATTATAAGTATTTATCATAAAAATAAAAAATAAATTATGGTTTAGTAGTACTTTCTTACTCCCTGGTTATTAGGATTAGTTCACTCCTAAAAAGTTGAAAGTAAATTTATGTTAAGTTGCATGAAATTATGTCAAATGAATTAGAATTTGTGTAATTAAAGAAAAGTAATTTAAAAAATTGAACTAAAATTTTCTCTAATTCCACATATTCCAATTATAAGGCTTCAATTCTATGTAGCCTAACACAGTTTAAGAGTATTGTGAAAGCTTTTTTTTATTAGGAAGAAAAAAAAAAAAAAAAAAAAAACTAAATTTAAAACTTAAATAACTAACTTTATTGATATAGTTATATCTTGCATTTAGTTCAAATAACTCTTTATATATTGTTATTTAGAGTCCACACAAATAATATCCTTAATTAAATTTTAATTATTTGAGAAGTAAGTATAGTTTAAATTTATATTTGATAATCATGTGTTATACTCTCTCTATCTCAAATTAAGTGTCTGACTTTGAAAAAAATGTGACTCATAACAAATTAAATGTCGTCGTAGTCCTTCTATCCCAAATTACGTGTTCTCTTTAAGAACTGTGAGTCGCATTTTTCAACGACGATAGTTAATTTGGAATAGAACTTTATTTTGATAAAAATTGTAATGAAATATCCTAACAAGTAAGGCAACACTCATTTTGTGGGGGATACTTATAAATTTTTTTTTTTTTTTTTCTTACACTCGAATCCTCTCCTATTCCCTTCTAGCCATTGGTGATACAAACGACTCTTAGTGGTGCCAATTTACAAACGACTCTTAGCGCGCGATGCTTCCCTCAGTAACTAAGGTTTGAGATGGCCAATTAGAGTTAGAGATGTTGAATTAGTCTTTTCACGGGGAAAGGGAAGCATCGCGCACATACACAGTGCCGAAGCCGCGTACGTAGTTGGCCCACGAAAGAGAGTTGCTTTATTTAAGACGACTTGGGATCCAAAGCCCCAATTTCTCGGCACTTTCCAACCGGCGACAGAACCTTTGTTCACGGCTGTTGGGGAAGACTTTGCATAGTAGAGTTTCGTCTTTTCCATCCAACCCTCATCTTCTGCTGAAGTGATAGATGTGTTCTCCCCCTCTTCCTACACCGGCGACACAACCTTTGTTCTGACGACATTGTTGAGGGTTTGTAGTACTTAAAGTTTGAAGTTTAACCTTTTGGGTCACTAACACATTTACTTGGATGTCCTCTAATTTATAGGCTGGAACCGTCTTTGGTCAATGAAATCAATTTTCAAAAGTTAGAATAATTTTTCATTTTAATTGAATAGCCATTCAAATTTTTAATTTCATGAATGATTGAAATATGCATTTTATTTAATCCCTGTATATCGAATTAGACCTAAAAAAATTCATATATAAAATGTAAAATTGTTGATATTTTCAAAAAGTTTCAAAGCAACATTGACATGAAATCCTTGATGGCAAAAATATAGCAGTTCAAATTAGTACTAATGTTATATGCAAAAATAAATAAAAATTAAGGAGATTTTGTGTAATTAACACCATGTTATATAATATTATGTTTGCTCTAAAAGGAGCTTAAAGCCTGAGATGTGCTATCCTGTGGGTAACCTAGAGGCTAGTTGTAATGGATTCGGCATTTGCTTTTTAACTCAAAAATCACACAAAATCTCTTTTTAAGAACCCCTCTAACATCTCTTCCACCAAACTTGTAACGATCATTATTATGATCGGATCGCCTTACTTACACAATATCTTTTTTCTTTTTTTTTTTAACCTCAGTTGAAGAAGATGAAGATGAGGAAGATCAGTTCCAAAGAGCTGATTCAGTTGTTGTTCCATGTCCCTTAGGAACTAGTCATTCTTTGCCTTTGCCTTCACCCATCATCTCCTCTGTTCAACCAGGGTATAACGCCAAGACACCCGGCAAACGCACTACTGAACTAAGGTTTAAGAATTATTGTGTTCATCTTTAAATTTTCATCTTTAAATTTTCATATTTTTAGCCCACCTAACTTTACAATCCTAGCTCCGCCCCTGATACCGAATCTCTTTTCCATTCATATAGGTGGTAAGACAAGACCCACCTAAAACAAATGCACATATGTAACGGGTGAACGTTTATCCATTTACTCAAAAACTCAAGCTGTTGGGTAGTGCTGTATAACCACCCATTTATACCCAATCACTTTCCTATTCGGATCCGATGTGGGACAAATGACCTTTATTACATTTCTTCCACGCAAACTCGCAATACTTTCGTTGCGACTCAGGCTACCATGTTTACCTGAGCTATAAATCCGGACACCCTTCGGGTCGGACACCTGGCGTGATACCGGATCAATGACTAGTATGTCTCTAATACCAACTGTAACGGGTGGACGCTTATCTATTTACCTAAAAACTCAAACTATTAGGTAATACTGCATACCTACTTATTTATACCGAATCATATTTCCATCCGAATTCAATATGGGACAAATAACAACAGGCCTGCCCCATTTGTGATAGAAGAAGAGTTGGAAAGGTTGTGTGCTGGTGGAGCATACTTTTGAAAGTTGATTTTGTACTAGCTCATGGGCCAACTAATGCAGTCAATGGGCCAACTACTAGAGAATTCGCTTCTTTTGGTTCAGGGTCATGGGCTACATTCAAACCTTTAGTTGAAAAAATAACTTGTAAACTGCGGGCTACTGTTGGCTTAAATTAGTGTTATATATATATTTGCTTATCGTCATAAGGACCCACAAACTCAGCCTCCTGTTTGTGATGCTGGCTTATGTATTTGCTTATTCAAACTCTTCAGCAGACTCTTCAGTCTCAACTAATCCAACCGTCGATGGCTACATTATGTCAAATTTCTTCTTTCTGAATCAATGCAATTTTTGCCATACAACTAATCCAACCTATCGATGTCTACATTTTGGTTATGTCAAATTTCACTGAGGAACTATTAGATGGTCATGAACCATGTGATCAGTCCAATCAAAATTCTCTGACTAAAAAATAATTTTATAAAAGTATAATAAGATATTATAAGTTAAAAAAAAAAAAAAAAAAAAAAACATGAATGTGAATTTGATTGGGCTGAATCTCCAAGTGGACTTATGATCCAGAAGTATCAAATAATTTCTCAAATTTCACGGGCTTCCCCAAGTAGGCCTAAATTGGGCCAGTAAGAAAGAGAGGGTGAAACAATTTAGTTATGGACTTCTTCATCCAGCCTATCAGCCTTGTGGGTCTGAACCATAGGCTTGGAGGAAAGTCCTGAACTTAAGAAGCAAAGTTAGACCCGATATTAAATCTATCGCTGGAAATGGGCAGAAGTGTTTCAATGGTTCGATAACTGGTTGCATAGTGGGCCTAGTATTGAAAGTAGAAGTGAAAAACATTGGACACAAACAAAGGCCCAAAAAAAAAAAAATTATGTAATTACTCAACCATGATATTGTCCGCTGTAGTTTATTTATTTGTCACACTTTCGATTAGTTCAGCCTCTAATACCCGTTTGATATTGTTCGCTTTGCGCCCGAACCCACATAATTTTACTCTTGGATTTTACCCCTAATGGCTTCATACCAATTGGAGTATATAAATTCTTCATATATAACAATTCCCCTTTCTACACCAGGGTGAGATTGTATATCTATAACTCGTCCAATGTGATAGCCTATCAATGCCTCTTGCACCGCCCACATAAGTCACCATAGTAAAAATAGTATAGCATCATACACAGAGCTAACAATGGCTTTTAAACGTAGAAATGCTTCTTTCCTTAAGGTAGAAGGCCAAGTGTAATAAGTCTCACTTAATTCCTTAGTCTCTTAAGTCACGATTGATGAGTTATTAATATTTAATACAGAATGATTTTGTTCTTAAGAGTGCAATATAAGAAGGGGAGAAAAAGCATGAGAAAAATCTATGTTCTACAGATATTGCAAAATTCACAAATATCATAACATTAATTGGAATCACGTTCTATCATGATAATCTCATCTTATGCATCATTAGGGATTCTGGTAGAAAACTTCACAGTGCATATATATTACAGTAATTTTGAGGGTATTATTGTATTTTTAATTATCCCAAATTAGCACTACTAAGTTTGTTGTACATATAAAGGACCTCCTTTGGACAATAACCTAACTCCACTTATATCATCATTATTCATGTACAGACACACTCTCACAATTAAACACCCCAATCCTATATATATAAGCTAATTAAACTAATATATTATGACCCATATGTAACCTAAGATGTTCCAAGCAAAGCTAGATATATATATATATATATATATATATATATAGAAGTATAGAACAAAATACATGTGCTCATATGAGAAACCTCAGAAGCCCTATCTTGCTGCCTGTGGACTTGACATCCTCTTGAACTTGGTCTCTGTACTCTTTGAAGCTAAATTTTCTGTAGATTGAAGGTGGCATGCAACTTTTTATTACAGCATCATATGAAGGACAGAAAAAATATGCAATAGAAAACCGTTCAACTTCTTGATTGGTAACAACCTTGTGTTCGATGCTCTTATAAACTCCATTGCTCCAAGCCTGTACTAAGAGATTTATATATATTATGATTGTATTTAGATATAATATACTCATTACTTGAAGATCGAACACAAATTAGCTCAAATCTTAGACCAGCTTGTGCATGAAATTAATTTAAAATCAATTCACTAGAAATTAATTAATAATAGGTCTATATATATATATATATATAATATATATATTAACAATAATTTAAATAATTAATTACCTGAAATAAGTCACCAATGTTGATGATCAAAGCTTGTGGATTAGGTTTAACTCTAACCCATTCACCGTCTTTCACCAGCAGCAATCCTCCAACCTGATATTGGTTTAATATCGTGAGGAAGTCGCTGTCAGTATGCGGCGTTAGCCCAAGGACCTTAGAAGATGATATTGGGCATGGTGGGTATCGGTTCATTCGAAGATAGCATGAACTTGGCAAGCAATTCTCCACAAAGAAAGTGGATTGTAATCCCAGATTTTCTGCTAAAATTTCAGCTATTCTTTGAGCAAGCTTGGAAGCAACTTCCACAAAATCCTCTACTGTTGAGCTGCAAAATAATAATCCAGCTGTTAGTACGAATTAATAAGCATTCCGTATACTAAACCTCATTCATCGATTCACTTGAATACAGGCCGCACTCTAATTGTCAGAGATCCCTTTTTATCCGAAGGAAAATGATGCTTTGGTCGAGCATAATATAAATTCCGTCCTGAGATGAAATGGAGAGGGACCCATGTGGATCCCTCTTTATTGCATCCCACGGGTGGGATGTGTTAGGCCCATCATGTCAACTGAAATGCTGCATAACTCGTGTCCCAAATCTCATTGCTCCTGTTATCTATATTGTAACCATGTCTATGGTACCTCTCAAAGTCTAATATATATAAAGTAAACTTGAAGTTGCAGGAGCCAATTCCTGACTCCCTCAATTTTTTGGCACTAATTTGAATGAAGCATTCTAGACTAGCTCTCTATTAATTTATTGGGACATATTTGGACAATATAGATTATAGATATTGTGGTTTTGTGGAGTTGATTTTTAGGAAGATTTAATTATATGGAAATTTCAAAAGTACTGAATTGTAGGAAAAATTCAGTTTCCTAATCTGTTAGGGAAAATTCAGTTTCCTAATTTAATTTGACTTCCTTATTGGTTTAAGGAAAATTCCGTTTTCTGATTTGATTTAATTTTCTTATAATTTTGGATTCTACAAAACGCAAGTTCTTTTAGGACAAGTTTGGGACTCTATAAATAGGGGTGAAAATTAGGGATAAATTTGTACCAATACAAGATAGAGCAATTGAGATAGATTGAGAGAGAATTCTCCTTGTAATTCTTCATCTTTTTCATAGTGAATTTGTTCGATGTGCTCCATGGACGTAGCCCTAAGATTTGGGTGAACCATGTATATCTTGTATTCTTGTGTGTGATTTTTTTTTTTATTCTTCGTGATTGTTTGTTTATTCCTTGAGCAGTGTTGTTTATTTTGCGTTTCCGCCACAATAACTGGAATCAAATTCGGTTGATTATGCAGTACAACTCTAACAACTGGTATTAGAGCCTTTGGTTGAGAACCTAGGGCACAGAAGGTGTTTGACGAAATTCCGAAAGTCTTTCGATCAGATCTGTCCATTCGAGTGGGAGTAATGGCATCAGAAGATAAGACATCCACATCCATGATTGAGAAGTTCGATGGCACAAACTTCGGTTTCTGGAAGATGCAAATAAAAGACCTCTTGTTTCAGAAAAATCTGTATCAACCTTTGGGAGAGAAGCCAGAGGATACAAAGGATGCAGAATGGGAATTACTTGATAGGAAGGCTCTTGGCACCGTCAGATTGACGTTGTCAAAGTCAGTTGCCTTCAATATCAAGAACGAGAAAACGACGAAGTCTCTCATGGCAGCCCTTTCTAGTATGTATGAACAGCCTTCTGCAGCGAACAAGGTGCACTTGATTAAGAAGTTATTCGACGTGAAGATGGTCGAAGGTGGTAAGTTCAACGAACATCTAAATGCGTTCAACAATTAGAGTCTGTTAATATTGACTTCAAAGACGAGGTCCGAGCACTGCTAATTCTAGGGTAGTTACCCGAGAGTTGGAGTGGCACAGTTACAGCGATCAGTAGCTCTGCAGGGAAGACCAAGTTGAAGTTTGATGAAGTTGTGAGCATGATTCTGACTGAAGAAATCAGAAGGCAAACAACAGGGGTTTCCACCAGTGGTTCTGCATTGAATGTTAAAAGTAGAGACAAGGGTTCAAACAAGAAGAAGGGCAACAATAATAGAAACAGAGGCAGATCTAAGTCAAGGAATGGAAGGACACGGTCTCAAAATTTCAGGAATTCCACAGATCTCAATGACGTTGAGTGTTGGAATTGTGGAAAGAAGGGACATTACCGTGTTGATTGCAGACTTCCAAAAAAGGGAGCCGAAAGAAAAACTGAAGCAAACTTTGTCTTAGAAGAATCAGATGATACATTGATATGCTCTTTGGAGAGCAGGGCGGAGTCATGGGTTTTAGATTCTAGCGCATCGTTTCATGGCACCTTAAACAAAGAGTTATTTCATAGCTATGAACCGAGTAACCTTGGTAAGGTGTATCTTGGTGATGACCAGCCTTGCAGCGTCATTGGCAAGGGTGAAGTGCAAATCAAGTTGAATGGGTTAGCTTGGAAGTTGAAGGATGTGAGACACATCCTTGACTTGAGGAAGAATCTGATTTCGGTGGAACAATTGTCAGATAAAGGTTTTGTTACAACCTTCAATAGAGACTCGTGGAAAGTTTCCAGAGGCGCTATGACCATTGCACATGGTAAGAAATCTGGCACTCTCTACACAACTACGAGTGCTTGTGGGTCTATAGTAGTTGCAGAAAACAGAGAAAATCACAACCTTTGGCACCAAAGACTAGGTCACATGAGTGAAAGGGGGCTCAAGATTATGCACTAAAAGGGGAAACTACCAGGCATACGGGCAATTGATATTGACTTCTGTGAGAGTTGCATGATGGGCAAGCAAAAGAGGGTCAGTTTTAAGAAGAGTGGCAGAGATCTCAGAAAGGAGAAACTTGAGCTAGTTCACACAGACGTTTGGGGGCTAACCACTGTTTCATCCATTGGCTGAAAATCCTACTTTATAACTTTCATTGATGATCATAACTTTTATTGATGATCACATGAAGAAGGTATGGGTTTATTTTTTGAAGCACAAATTTGAGGTATTTGATGTGTTCAAGAAGTAGAAGGCCATGGTGGAGAATGAGACAGGTTTGAAGATCAAGAGGTTGAAATCAGACAATGGTGGTGAGTATGAAGACACTGGGTTCAAGAAGTTCTGTTTTGATAATGGGATCAGATTAGAGAGAACTGTGCAAGGAACCCCATAGTAGAATAGGGTGGCAGAACGGATGAACCGAACATTGACAAAAAGAGCCAGAAACATGCGCATACATTCGGGTCTACCCAAACAGTTTTGGGCAGAAGCGGTCAATACAACATCCTACCTAATAAATCGTGGACCATCTGTGCCTTTGGAGCATCGAATACCAGAAGAGGTATGGAGTGACAAAGAGATAAATCTTTCATGGTTGAAAGTTTTTTTGTTGTATTACATATGCGCATATTAGTGACCATGTTAGGGGAAAGCTTGACCCCAAATCACTAAAATGCATCTTCGTTGGGTATGGTGGAGATGAGTTTGGTTATCAATTCTGAGATAATCAGAACAAGAAATTCATCAGAAGTAGAGATGTGATTTTCAACGAGAAGGTGATGTACAAGGATAGAGATGCAACACAGTTAACTAGTCATGTACAGAGTAAGCCTGAGTTTGTTGAGCTGGATGATGATCCAGAAAGCATTAATGTGGAGCAGACAGATGAGGGTTCTTGGCCAGAACTCACAGAGCATAGTTCACCGCAGATTCCAACTCCTATGCTTGCACCCAAAAGGTCTATGCGACCTTATGTACCGAATAGGAAATATTTGGATTATATGTTGCTCACAGATGATGGTGAGCCTGAATGCTATGATGAAGCATGTCAAGTTGAAGATGCTAGCAAGTGGGAGCTTGCAATGGAAGGTGAGATGAAGTCCCTTATCTCCAACAAAACATGGGAACTATCCAAGTTGCCCATAGGGAAGAAAACTCTTCACAACAAATGGGTGTACAGGGTAAAAGAGGAATACGATGGTTCCAAGAGATACATGGCGAGAATGGTGGTCAAAGGCTTTCAGCAAAAGCAAGGCATTGACTACATAGACATTTTTTCCCCGGTTGTGAAACTGAGTACCATTCGCTTAATTCTTAGCATTGTTGCAGCAAAGGGGTTGTACCTTGAGCAGTTAGATGTCAAAACTGCTTTCCTCTATGGTGACCTAGAGGGGGAGATTTACATGCAACAACCGGAGGGTTTCTCAGTCAAAGGGAAAGAGAAACTAGTGTGCAAGTTAAAGAAAAGTTTATATGGTTTGAAGCAAGCCCCGAGGCAATGGTACAAGAAGTTTGATGGTTTTATGAAACGACATGGCTATAACAAGTGCAATGCTGACCATTGCTACTACTTCAAGAGGTTCAAGTCAAGTTTCATTATCCTTCTACTTTATGTTAATGACATGTTAGTGGCAGGTTCTAATTTTGAAGAAATCAGCAAATTGAAGAAGCAGTTGTCTAGTGAATTCGAGATGAAGGATCTTGGTGCAGCGAAACAGATTATTGGGATGAGGATTAGCAGAGACAAACAGAAAGGTACTTTGCAGTTGTCTCAGACTGAGTACGTTGAATGGGTTCTGAAGAGGTTCAACATGAATAATGCAAAGGCGGTGAGTACTCCCTTAGCTAATCACTTTCGATTATCTCAAGATCAGTGTCTGAAGACAGAAGATGAGAAAAACTTTATTGCTAAAATTCCATATGCCTCAGCCATTGGAAGTTTGATGTATGCCATGGTGTGCATAAGATCAGACATTGTATATGCAATGGGAGCAGTAAACAGGTTCATGAAGGATCCGAGCAAGCTACACTGGGAAGCAGTAAAGTGGATATTGAGATATCTACGGGGTACCATAGATAGATGCCTATGTTTCAAAAGGGGCGAAGTGAAGCTACATGGCTATGTAGATTCAGACTTTGCTGGCGAGGTAGACCACAGAAAAAGTACTACCAGGTATGTGTTCATGGTGGGTACAACTATAGTTAGTTGGGTTTTGCAAATATAGAGGATTGTAGCATTATCTACTACAGAGGCAGAGTATGTGGCAATAACATAGGCTAGTATAGAGATAATTTGGTTACAAGGTTTGTTGACAGAGTTTGGATTCGAACAGGAGAAGAATGTTTTGCACAGTGATAGTCAGAGTGCGATACATCTGGCAAAGAATTCAACATTTCATTCAAGGACCAAGTATATAGGACTTCGGTATCACTTTATCAGATCTTTGTTAGAAGATAGGGTGTTAACACTTGAAAAAATACTTGGCACCAAGAATCCGGCTAACATGTTGACCAAGACAGTGACCATGGAGAAACTGAAGTTGTGCGCAACTTCGTTCGGTCTTCTAGCTTGAAGATAGAGAGAAGCGCACCGACATGCATAGGACATGCATGAGAAGAAGATGGAATGGGTTTACAAGTGCTCCAGACTCCAAGTGGGAGATTGTTATGGTTTTGTGGAGTCTTATTAGGTGGAAGATTTTTAGGAAGATTTAATTATATGGAAACTTCAAGAGTACTGAATTTTAGGAAAAATTTAGTTTCCTAATCTGATTTGACTTCTTTATTGGTTTAAGGAAAATTCAGTTTCCTGATCTGATTTAATTTCCTTATTTATTTTGGATTCTACAAAAGACAAGTTCTTGTAGGGCAAGTTTGAGACTCAATAAATAGGGGTGAAAATTAGAGATAAATTTGTGCCAATACAAGATAGAGCAATTGAGAGAGATTGAAAGAGAATTCTCCTTATAATTCTTCATTTTTTTCATAGTGAATTTATTCGGTGTGCTCCATGGACGTAGCCCTAAGATTTGGGTGAACCATGTATATCTTGTGTTCTTGTGTGTGATTTTTTTTTTTCATTCTTCGTAATTGCTTGTTTATTCCTTGAACAGTGTTGTTTATTTTGCATTTCTGCTACAACAACTGGAATCAAATTCGGTTGATTGTGCAGTGTAACTCTAACAATAGACTGTCAACATAATATGACAACCAAATCCTACAACCATGTAAAGAGCTATTAATTACTGTTTCTAAAAAACAAGTGGAGATTCTGTGTTAAACGAGTTGTATCGCAATAACTCTAGTCGGGGCGGAGCCAGGATTTGAATGTAGGGAGGGCTAAAGAAAAATTTCAAGTAGAAGAAAAAAAAATTTCAAGCAAAGAACGGTTTGGATTAAAAACATACAAAGCTACTTTTTCACTTAAAAATTGTGTTCAAAAAAGTAAAGCTTAAGTGTCCAAGTTACTTGATATCAAGATGAGTTTTGTCGTACAATTTGAGCAAGCTTTAATTGTGTATAAGTTTTAATATTCAAATTGTTCACATGGTTCTTCTACGGATTAAGAAAAAGAGAGTTCAAGGTAATAATGTATTTGGATTGGGCTAGGCTAAATATTTTATTATGAATTGGACTGGGCTGAATGGCTGATAGGAAAATGAATACTAGTACATGAACTTAGTAGTACTAAATAATTTTTTTTAACTGGACCTGGGCTATAGGCCAGGTTAGCCCATTCATGGCTCCGCCCCTGACTTTAGCGCAGACAGTATAAGCTCTCCTCTTCAAATGTGGAAACTTTCAAAAACTAAAGTATTTTACAAGTTAACAGAGTCAGAGAATTAGAAATTCAAGTTTAATGCCGATATTATGAGTTTATGTATTTATATAAAAATAATTATATATAATCCTTGTGCAAAAACAATGTAACAGAAAATTATTTAGGTATGTTTTCTGGTCTTAATTATTTAGCTAGTATTGGATAATGGCTTTTTTTGAGTTTGGTATGCAAGATTATCCCTCTAGATTCACAGAAAGAAGTATAAAAGCAAATTTATCAAAGCAAACCCTACAAAGTGCTGAGAAAAAGAAAAAAAGAAAAAGAAAAAAAACTAACATAAGATCGTCAAAGCGCGCATTTGACTTGTAAGAAATTAACTACTACCTGAACATATATAACCATGTTGTACGTAATAAATTCCTAACGGCAAAAAGAAACAAATTAATGATAAAAAGAATAAACATGGAATATTCCAATCAATCAAATTTGAATTCAATTTCTAAATCCAATAAAACCTTCAAAAAATAAGAAAACAACAATTGTAAATAAAGTAATTGCAATTGAACAATATTATACTATTTTTTTTAAAAAAGAATCCCAATTTATACCATCCGTTGCATAGCACTGGGAACAAGTACTGAACAACTCAGAAGCACTTGATGCAAAATCAAAGCTTATATATATATATATGCAATTTCTCTAAAAGTGAATGGTTGACTTAAAAAATAAAAATTTATTTTCGGAAAGTTAAGCAATTGTATATATTAGAAGAAGTAGCTTAAACAAATTAATTTGATCATAGGAGTGATGTGCATAAATACCTCGGATCCATTGCCAGTTTTTTCGAAGCTCAAACAAAGAAAAGAAAAAAAAAAAAAAAAGATCATCACTTAATGAGATAAAGTGGGGAAAAACCCTAACAAATATGGTCATAATATATATATATATCTAAATTTATGTAAGGATATATTCAAACAAATGCTGTTGAAAACCACTGCATGAAAATTGTGCCCAAAGTTTCATATATGAACACACAGTCACACACATATACCTAAGATTAGTGTTGAATTCTTTTAATCCGGAAATGTGGGAAAGAGGTATGCGAAAAGCTTCTGACCAAGACAACTGCTTCAGAGAAGTGGCAGTAGGAGTCCCCCAACGGTAACAAAAATCTGTTGATGATAACTTCAAACTCTTCCCAATATTGGCTTTCTTGTGGAATGGCTGCCGGAAAAGCATCACTTGCTGCTGTCGCATCCTCGCCGTAATCTCACCAGAAATCCCATGATTTACAACCTGGAAGAACCCCCACTTGCTTGCAGCATCAGCAATTTCTCTCTTACACTTTTCTTGGCACAAATCCCCCAGACTTAAACAGCTAAGATCGATAACTGGTAATTCATATTCGATGTCAGAAATAGAATGGTTCTTCGAATTCTCATGATCATGATGAACCCTTTCTGCACTTTCTTCTTCCATCAAGTTCCTAAGAAGGATCTTGTAGGTTTCTTGAAATGGTGGCTCAGATTCCATGTTTGAAAGCTGAGTGAGTGTGTGTGTGTGTGTGAGAGAGAGAGAGAGAGACGACCAATGGTAGGTTGGTACTTTCTATCATCTATTTATAGAAAAAAAAACTAAAAAAATTTAGTGGCAACTGTCTTTCTGCTGATGATATTTCTCTTTAAAGTTCTACATATAGTGTACAGTGTATTTAATTATTTAAATTTATATTTTTCGTTTGTGGTAATTAAAACTGAATTTGTAAAGAAAACAAGAATGAATACGGTGAAATCATTCAAATTATACAGTAGTTTTTTTTTTTTTCCCCCTGCAGAGGATTCAAATTATATACTGTAGTAATTGATTCATGCTTGTGTGCTAAGCCTTCAGGCTAAGTAGATTAAAATGGTATTAATTCAGAAAATCGATCCATCCCTAGCTAGTTGTAGGATAATAAAATAGTTAATACAATGGTTAGTGACCCCATGCATGGAATTTATCATGATTATATTAATTATCTCACATAAATTCATATGGTATGTCAATCAAATATTTTTAATAAGTGTTATGGCTTTAGCATTTTTGGGAAGGAAAACCTGTACCAATGGGAAGGAAAACCGGCCTGTAGAAAGCTTTGGAAATAATTACTTGAGCAAATGATGCAGAAAAAAAAGTTCAATCAAAAGGTGAAAAATAAAAGATGCATGATTTCAAATTTTCTATTTATTGAAAAAAAAATTATTTATTTATTTATTTATTTATTTTGCCCCCTTGGTTGCGCATTGATCATTACTTAACTGTAGCTAGAACTAAGGTGCTTGTTTGCTTTCTGTTCATGTTCATGCTTGCATGCTTGTGTTATAAAAAAAAACAGACACAAAAACACCATCATTGTTTTTACCATATATACTAAAAAAAATAAAAAATAAAATAGAAAAAACACAAAAAGAGAATAGAACAAAGATGACTGTGGAAGAATAAGAAATGGGTTATAAAGAACTGTCATTGTTTACCACAATGATTTTAGAGTTAAGTAATGCAAATTTAGTGTTAAATAAAAGATGTATTATTATTATTATTATTATTTTAGGATTGGAAAATGATAGTAAAAGAAAAGGAGAAATATATACTCGTATATTTCTCGGTAGTGTATCCTCAACCTATTTTAAATTGAAATTATCTGACAAGACACTGATTTATTCACGGAAATGACAGAAAACGTCTAGCTCCCTGATAATTAATAAACATTGGGAATAAATTAAATTGTTTACCAATAGAATTTTAAGTACTGACTTTCCAAATTAATAATGGACAATAATAGAGAAAGTTTTCTTCTACAGAATTCACCATGTCATTTCATCAATGTTTATTAGTCACTTTTCTTTGATTTATTTATTTGACTTATTTTTTTGTTTGGAAAACTTATGAAAAAGATAATAATAATAATAAATAATAATAAAAGGTGCAAGAGAAAGTTTGATTATGCAAAATTGACGATGTGATCTCATCAACCACTAAATGATCAAGCTTTTTCATGGTAACGTATATATGATTCTTTTCCTAGACAATTCTTTCGTCTTTGTTGTTTATGAGAGATCTGTTGGGAAACGTGCAAGTTTTAAAAACTTTTCGAGGGATTTTGATTCATAAATCTTGATTCATCACATAGAGACAAGTTTTATGCAAAAATAAAAATATGATGTATCATTCAATTAATGGATTGAATACTTACATCAAAGGTCTGAGTAAACCTTTAAAACTTTCCTCTAAAGTGAATGTTCTCACTTATTATAGATCCCTTAGCAAGATGCCTTCTCCTTGGATCTCCATCTTCTTGGTAATTATTTTGCCTTTAGGAATCACTCATAAGCCTCCATGAATTACCTTGGAAAACTAGGCTTGTGGGAGCCTCTATTAGATGAGACCAAAAACCCTAATTTTCTAGAGAGAGAAAATTTATTCCTTTTTCCTTCTCATAAAAATGACCCCCTAAAATATACATAGACCATGTATATTTATAGGCAACATAAAAATAAAGAAAAGGAAACAACAAATCCTTCTCCATCTCTAATTCATATGTCTCAAATCTAATATGATTCCAATATCAAGTTGGGCTATGAGTGAGAATCCATTGGGCCTATTATTTTATTGGCTGCAATGAATTAATAATTGGCCCGGTCCATGGACCCAATTCAATTAATTCATAAATTAATTTCTACTCCACTAAAAGAAATTAATTGAACTCCAATTAAATAATAAATAACCTCTAAGTCAATATTGCACTTTGACCCCTCTATGCATAATTAGTTATCGGATAAATAAAGCCATCAATCCGACTACTTAATTAATATATCTATTTTGGTACCTCTGATTATTTCTGACTCGATCACAATAAAACATTTGTTTGACAAAAATAATAATTTAAATAAATAAATATATAATAAATCATTTTGTCTAAAAACACACGAAGGCCTTCGAATTTACTTTGTGATCAACCATAATCAATACAAAATAAATACAAGTAGCAATGATGCAAATATTGAAAATATAACCCTCTAACTATTAATTACATAACTACCCAAAGTGTCGGTCTAAGGATCCCGAAGAATCCGCCGAACAAATCAAAGTAATTATTAATTAATAAAAGAGTCTATACTTTTCTCATGCTTAAGAGTCAAATGCCATGACGGTGATAGGGAGTAATTGCATACGACGGCTCTCGCAATATATCTCAACCTAACGCGAATCCAGTTCAAGTCTTAATTAATTATGAGTCCATCCATAATTACCGACTATGAACAATTTATAATTACTATTTATATATCATGCATTGATTGCCATCACATACATATATATAAATATTTCTTATAATTACATGGACACTATCAATTTCATAGTGAATCGAAACATAATACATTGAATTCACCAATTATATAAATCATAAATATTTCAGATATGTCAGGAACATATGTCACTATAATTCAGATAGGAATTTGCTATGCCAGGGCATATAAATCCCAACAAGATCACTGTAGTGGGTGGCTGTCAGAGTCTTTTCTGTGTTTCTTAATCATGTACGGTGGCTTTAATTAATGTTTCAAAGATTTTTGGGAGGATTTTTATTATATTCCTTTTAAGATTTTTAATATTCTTACGTTATTATTATTATTATTTTTTGAAAAAAAAAAAAAAAAAGGTTGTAAGGAGTCTCTTATATACCTAGGTCTTGATGGATGGTATAGTTGAGTTGAGAGGAGACACGATTTGCAGGAGTCATACTTGTAGGAGTCATATATGGAACTATTTTTGTACATTGTTATTATTATTATTATTATGACTTGTTTTAGCGTATATTGATCGAACTCTTTCTAGGAAAAGAAGAAGTTGTTTTTAACAAAAAAAAAAAAAAAAGAAGAAGTTGTCATGTCTGATTGATATCTTCTTTAATGGTCTCTGTTAACATTTCCCAAACAAGGGGAGAGAAAAAGGAAAAAACCAAAGGCTAGTACAGTATATATCATTTTGATTGAAGTGGTGGTGGTGTCGGGCCTGTCGGCAATCAAAAAGGTAAGTGGCACGTGGTTATCACGTGATTGCAAGGTCTGAATCTCTCTGAAACCCAGTATTGGCACGTGGTTATCACGCGATTGCAAGGTCTCAATCTCTGAAACCCAGTTGAGTTGTAGCCTTTGTTCGTTGGCATATATGAAAAAGTTGAAACAAATTCACGTGGACATCGCCCTCTCTAATAGTAGTTCGCCACGTGATCCATTCTCCATGTCCATTACTTTGTTCAGAGGAATTTGGTTTTTAAAGCCTACCCCATCTTTATAGTTTTTTTTGGGAATTTTAAGCAAATATTATAAATATAAGAGATAATTACATGATTGGGCCAGAAGGCCAGACAGCCCATTTAGGACCCAAAAGGAATACCAAAAAATAGGCCCATACCCATGACTAGTGTATTGTTACATTAAGCAAGCAAATAACCACAATTAGTGGAATTAAACTTCTGTTAATGGTGGTTATCTGCCGAACAATCCAGTGAACTAGGGCAAGCAATCCGGCAAGTGAGCCGGCGATTCCTTCAATCTAGTGGACGTGGTGGGGGGTGACAGCATGAGGGGGAGATATTCCATTACGAGAGAATCCTTCTTGTTGTGGAACAATCTTGAAGAAAACCAATCTTAAAGATTACAGTGATGGTGGAGCAGATTCGAGCAAGCACAACCCTCTGAGAAGCTTTTTTCTTCTTGAAGATCATTTCGTTTCTTTCTTCCCGAGTGTGGTACACAATGGTAGAGAAGCAAACCTTCCTTAGCAGGTTCGGTACTGATTTTGCCTTCCATCTTTGTCTAATACATTGTATGAGTTCCTCCCAATTTGTTATAGTTGTGCAAAATTGGCATTTGTCTTTGATAAATCGCCAAATCGGAAAGGTAAAGCAGCATTTGAAGAATAGGTGTTCATGTGATTCAGGGTGGGTTAGACAGAGGGCACAAATATTAGCATGCTTTCTCATTAATTTGCTATCCAAAGTTGGCAATCTTGATTGAACTGCCGGCCAAAGGTTAAGCTTCATTCTAGGGATAATTGGAGAGCACCACACCAAGTTGTGCCAATGTGCTTGAAGGTAGTGTGTCCTTCTAGAAAGGAGGCTGCTGTGTGGCTAAGAGAAAATATTCCTGTTGAGGATGCAGTCCATCTCTTCTTATCTCTTCTACTTGGAACTGGAGGTTGAAGTTGTAGAAGCTCAGGGATAGAGCTTGTGATGGCTGCTGGGAATGACCAAGAGGAGTTAACAATGAAGGTGTCCACTGTAGTAGCATTGTTGAAGCAAGCCTGTATGAGAATTGATGAAAGGAATCTGGTGCATAGTGGTCCTCCAAGAGCCTAATCATCCAGCCAAAATGATGTGTCTGTGCTATTGCCAATATAGTGTTTAAATAGAAGTCTTGCTGGATGTCTTAGTTATAGCAGCTTCCTCCAACTCCAAGAGCAAGAGTGGCGGATGTTGAGCTCCCACAAGTTCCTTGACTTGATAAGATATG